GGAGTGCTGGAATTTTGCGCTGCCAACGCTGTCGATCACCAGGCATCGTTGCTGCAGCGTCTCCGGGGCTCATCGCCTACTCGTCTGGATCTCGCCCTACTGGCTCTAGCATTCCGACTCACCCACCTGGATCTGGCCTCAGCTACTGTGGCCAAACTGGATCGTAGTGCCTCTGCCCTCAAGCAGTGTTCTGCCCTGGTGAAGCGTATCACGCTCCATCTCGTTCGCTGTCCCGACTCCCTTGGCCTGCTGACGCTTATCAAAGAACTGTTCAAGGGCGCGTCTGCAGATTCAGACGTGGTATGTCCGTTTTGCCTTCCTCTTTTTTCGTTTCCCGCTTTAGACCAAAGCACAGAGCTGGCTTTGGTCCCACTAATCCAAATGTCAAACTTGATAACTTTCTCATGTCAGGCCTCAAGCAGTATACCTGCATGTAGCATCACCCGCCTGCGCCCATTAAAACACAGGGCATCGCAGACCAGACACACACACTATGGGCAATTCCTAAAGTACGAGTTACCCACGCACACAATGGGTGCTTTATTTTGCCAATTTGGTACACTGCCAATCTAGACTTCAGACTGCGTTTACCCCTCTATCTTGAGGTAGGTGCGATTGTTTGACATTAGAAGGTCCGTCATGTCTGTCTGTCGTCTGCACCCTCCAAGCGCTCATCTGTATCCGCCTGGGCATGCCTGAGCTTTAGTCCCTTCGGCAAATGCCCGCCAAGGTTGTTAACCTTGACCCAATTTACTAGTGCACCGTCTCCACGTATATCCATAAGGGGACAATTGTATCATCACTCAATTATCAGTGGATTGTGTACCAGTAACTATCGCCTAGCTCACTGGAATGCAGACAAGCAACAGCACCGAGGAGAGATAGTAGAGGAGCCAAGCACGGCGAAACTAACTTTTAGAGAGGATCAAATTGGCGGTTCTTGTGAAATGCGCTCGAAACTCTGAGGAGGTGGCACTTAGTCTCCATGCCAGAAATATAGGTAGGTCAGGCTCCTGTCAGTCAGTTGAGAGCGTGACCCAAAGATTGTTTGAAAACAGGCCCCTTCAATGTGCAGCTCATTCTTATGATGTAGTCCATCGGAACGGAACGCTTAGGAGGCCTCATGTTCCAGATGTCGCCGACTCAAGCTATTTTATTTCCAATCGAAGAAAATGATCTAAGGTCACAGCTTGGGCTGTTATTTGTAGGAACGCAAATATTTGAGAATTGCTTTTTTATCAAAGCATACTTAAATGAGGTTGCTACTAATGTAATCTATCCCTTAGGGTAATACCGTCCCCAAAAAATGTTCTTTCGTCAGAAAGGCGTAAAGTAAGTTTTCATGTGTTGTTCCAGTAAGATAAGACCGCACCATACGCCTTTTTCGTGTGCGATTACCTGAAAAAAGGTGTTCAAAAGCCAGCGCATTGACAGAGGGAGACCCTGTGAAATAAGTACTCAAATCCCTCTCATCTAACTCCACTTGATTTCTTCATTTGGCGCTACAAGAGTAGGCTCTAAATCACAGAGTAACCCATCTTTCGAAAATTCCGTAAAATTGTCGCGAACATTTGTCGTTGAGTTCTTCCTTGTTGGTTAATAAACAACATTTTCAAGAAGCTCGCTTCCCATTGCCGCCAACAGGCCGCCGCTATCCGTGACGTCTGTGAAGCCGATTCATCCCACAACAGAAGCTAATCGGATAAAATGCAAGTTAATAAACTAGACCGTGGGCATTCTGGGCATCTGTTAGAGCGTGGGACTTCTAAACACCAGGTCCCGGGTTCAAGCCCCTCGAGTGATGCACCACCTAAGTTTGAGTATGGCTGACTGATGACGACTAATAAGCCAGAAATGACCGTTAAAGTCTAATTCCTGTGCGGCTGATGGCTGAGCTCG